GACACGATCCAAAACAAACTAGCATCAATTTTCTTCAGAATTCTTGCTTACCATCCTGATGGCAATCGGACTCAACAGAATTTGGCTTATGCTGGGAGTTTTGTTCAAGTTGGTCCAACCCACTAACAGATTCTGTAAAAAAAATATGGACTCAAAACTTCATAAATAATTCAACAACTTACAAATTGTAACAGAAAAAACAAACAATCAAGTATTACCAAAAACAATGATAACAAATAAATTTAAGAAAAAACCACGTCATATCAAATTGAGAAAGTATAAAACAAAATGTTGATATTTTAACTGTATAGCATGTGCTTAATTAGTCCCCAAAAATAAAGCCGAGTCACAATTTGCAGACTAGCTGATGAGTCTGCCAAAACTCTGAGGCCACACCACATCAACAATATAAATTAAGCAACACCAACTCTATAAAAATACTAAGTGCACAAGCCAACTGAAGTGCGCACGTAATCAATTCTTTATGACCAAGCAATTCATATGAAAACTTCTCTGATGATCATCGGAAGCTTGCATACTTTGTTCCCAAAAGCTTTGAGGATAATATTAAGCATTGTATACTCCAAAACAGACATGGCAGAACGGAAAACAAGCATAACAAGACACGTTTGAACCCCTATACAGTCCAAGAAGAAAACTTGCCGATTCATTCACCTTTTCCAGTTCTAATTCAAATTTATACCCTTTTTCTCTATGTACATTGTCCGATATCATATCAGCTGCGAACACAATTGGGTCCAATGCCATAACAGATATGAATACATTAATGACTTCGGAAGCAACATGTAACAAAAAGGTTAGGAAGAACTCACGATTGCCATCAACCACATCCCCAACCCCCATCTTTTCATCTAAATTTGCTCCAGGACTGGAGTTTCCCTGAAAACAGAGCACATGGGATTAGGGATATGACAGATGTAGTTAGGTATAATCATACATTAACAAAATAGATAGCAATCAGATATACCTTCAGTACATTTACTGGAGTAGAAACTTTAACACACTCTGATTCACTTTCAGAACTGCTATAATCTGAATCTGCAGGACACATGTACATGCAAGAAAACTATTTAAAGGACACAATAACAGCAACAACACTGATAACAAGAAACTATCACAATTGAATTGAAAGAAAAATAAAACATGTGTTAAAAAGTACAGTTTTTGAAAAATGTGGAAGAGAAATATTGAGAACATTTTGAAAGATTGTGCTAAAATCTCAACTGTAAAGATAACCTGACCGGACTTCATATCTTTTTTATATATGCCCACCTTTCTTTGATTAAAGTAAAAAAATATAAAAGACACTATAACCCATTCAATTGTAAATTTTAATCCAAAAAAAAGGTATTTTCCACTGGAACCTGAATTATAAAATCATCTATTAAATTTTTGCATTGTAGTGTTGCAAAACATATTCTTTTTTTTTTTTTTTGGACCAAGCAAAACATATTCAAAGGCATTCAAAGAAACCTGTAGAAAGCTATTAACCACAATTAAAATGTGGGGTAGAGCATATGTTGACTTTCTCACAAGAAATTACAGAAAGGCCATCTCGAGAAATCGTAGAAAAGAAGTGTTAAATTACTTGGACGACAAAAAATACAACCTGCAAAAAGAATAATACAACCTGCAAAATAAACTGACTACCATAATAACTTTGGTTTTTTTTCTTTATCTATTTGGTATCGTGTAAAACAGCTAATTCATTAAGGTAGTTATGTCTCCACCATATCACAGATTCACAGGTCTTACGAATGCAAGTCTACATTGTGAAAACAAAAGGCAAACTATATGTTGTAGAAGATAACAGACCCAAATTTCCACCAGAACTGCCTGAACTAATGCATCTACTGCTTCTCCGGCCTGTGTCCTTTTCAATCTCAACTGGGGGATAGCTTGAAACCAGGGCCTCATTTCCGCAAATATCAACAACCTCATCGGCAGGGTCATTTCCTGAAAAATAGCAACATCATTAAAATGCCTGTCTGACGCACGTGAAGATATACAATATAAAAGCACAAAAGAAAAATGGATGGAAAGTAACCTTTAAATAGTTGCATGGATGAATTGCTAAGCCCTGATTCGTTCAGCAGCTGCAACAGCGATTGAAGAAGAAAAGCAAGGGTCAAATTCTTTATATGATATGGCAAGTCGCCAGTATTTTTGTTTATTTGAGAAGGCAGGGACTCGGATGTCAGATAGTATAATACCTCTATCTCACAAGGTTCGCCTTTTGCAGGATTGTTTTGTTTCTCTTGCAAATGGTCATCTAAAAGCTTCCTTAATCTGAACAAGGTATCATCACTGAGATCATTGATATCAATCTCAATCTCATCCTCTCCCACTTCCCTTGCACGGGAACTTTGTTCCTTCAGAAATTCAATGATATTATCCGGCAAATCTCCCAGGATAGCTTCCAATTCTGTACTTAATTGGTGTTTCTCCTCTTCTGTCATTATCTTCTTAACAGGTTCATGAATAACTTCATGCTGTATTGGTGTAAGTTTTCTCCTTTTGGAGGGAGCCATCAGCTTAACTGTTCCTATGTCGTCTTGAAGGCCTGATTTTTCGGGTAATGGTCGCATATTATTTACAGAGAGTTTCTTCTCAATGGGTTTCCATCTAACTTCAAAAAATTTATTAAGAGTATCAGCCATTAAATAGAAATCATTCCCAGGTGGATTGTAGGTCATGGCATTGGAGAAAGTGAGTCTCACATCAGCGAGGAAGTCCAGTGGGCTATTGTACTCAGATGAAGCAATTTTCCCCTTTATTGTACCCAAATCCATTGGATGCTTGATAACAGTGAAATAATCTGAGGCATTGAATTTCACTACGTCAACAGGGGCATTAAAAACCCAACCATACTGATGCTTCATTAATTTTTTCAACAAGTTTTCACACTGCTTCATCAAATTTGCATTTGAAGTGCTAGATGTCGAAGCTTGGTTTATAGACTCAAACCTTCCAGAAGAACCCCGATTCCAGCCACGTCCCTTATCACCCATAGGGTTTAATTTTTTACCAGAAGTTAACATTGATGATTTTCTCACCTTCCCTGTCAAGGGCCCATTTTGTGTATTGCTACAGCTAAGAATATCACTAGAAGATGACACGGCAGCATTTGTCCTCTGCAACTCAACTTTCTTTTGGAGAGCCCGTATATGTTCAAGTTCTCTTCTCAAACGAACCACTAAATCTCTTCTCTCGGATGGTGGCAGTTTTGAGAGAGGGAGGACACGTGTGGGCACACCAAAGCCATCCCGGGAAGCAGAATTTAAATTAATGCATTTTCTCCTTGGGCCATTTGAATCCTCAGATGCTGTAATATCTGTATCAATTCTTCCCGAGCTACCAGATCCTTCTGATTCATAATTAGGAGGAAAACCAGTACTATATCCTTCTGGGAACCTATCCGGCTTTGCCATCATTTTGCCCTGAACTCTAACCTCCGTTTACTTATTGGGTTTCTTCTAGCAAGTATGTCAAATTAGTTTACCTCAGTATATAATAACACTGGACAACATCATCGACGCCAGTTCCTGGAATCCATGAGAAGACAGTGATCTTATGATTCACATAGAGATGCACAAGAAAAAGGACTTATTTTCCAGTAATCGCCCCAATATGAAATGGTAGACCAAAGACTCTAGTATATGTTTGCTGTTTCTCAACGTTAAATTGTTATGCCAGTTCAGCAATTACGTTTCATTCAATAAATTCAAACCGTGTGCTGAAATGAAACCAATGAATTAACGCATGAAGTGATCAAACATGGTCAGTTTGTTTTTTCCCCTATACTTCTAGACCTTTATCACACCTTACGCTATCATTAGCAACAAAACATAATACCTAGGAGTAACCAAGTAAAGCCCTAACCTTAGTTACCTTCAGCGTTGGCCTTCCTCTAGATCGAAAGAACAAGATCCCTCGGCTAAGCAGACTTCAAAGATGAAAATAATTTCAATTGAATAAACAGAAATTCTTATAAATTACTACCGAAGTAACCAGCAACTAACACACAAGCACAACAGGAAACCCTAGATCAAGATTCCAAATCATCAACTTCACAGAGAGATAAAGAACACGGTGCTTGAAACCCTAGATAACAAGAATTTGAAGACTCGAAAAGAGACTGGATCACAAGCAAAAGTCGCTGCTGGCGAAGAAAGTTTCGTGAAGTCTTCGACTTCGAACAACTGGAGTGAAAATAGAGAGGGAGACAGAGACTCGATGGGGAGAGAAAGACACGGTGGAGTGTCTCTACTTAAAGGCCGTTGCAATCATCTTGGCACCCCTTTCGGTATATCTGGACCGTTGAGTTCTAGTTTTGGTCCAATCTAACGGTAGGAATATTCTTCAAGTTTCATCCTTACGATCTAGATCTAGCGGTTGAGGTGTTTAATTCGGCTTATTTATTTATTCAACTTTTAGCCAGCTTTAATTTCATTGGTTGTCAATGTTGCGTCCCATGGGATTGAGTCCTATTTATTAACTTCTCTTCAGAAGCTACTAGAAGCTGCTTGCCGCGTAAACTCCACCGCCCGCGGTAATTACGCGGAGTTGGGGCATAATGACTAAACTGGGGCCACTGAGCCTGTTGGAGGCAAATTGTTTTGCAAAACAGTGGATCTGATTGGATATATTTTTAAAAAATAATATTCAAAAATATGTTTTCGAAAATAATTTTAAAAATTTGTGGTTTTTTTTTTTTTGGTATTCTAAAATATATTTTTGGTTATATAATTTCAAAAGATAAAAAATAGTAAAATATATTTGAACAATAATCCCAAAAATAATAAAAATAGTGAATATAATTTAAATTGACTCTTTCATAAAAACATTTTGAAAAAATATCATTAAAGTGCGGGCGGTGATAAGACATGTTATCACAACTTTCTTTTGTATAACACGTGGATAGGCAAGATTTTTTTTAAATGAACTATAAATTAACTTACGATACTTTAAAAAATAAAAGAAAAGAAAACTCAATGATAAAGAGTAAGTATTGAATGCCTATGAACAGATCTTAGCCTACAAAAAATTAGCAACAACAAAAATGTATTTCTTCCCCTCAACGTAAAGAAATGACATAGATCCCAAGTTCCTGGTTTGCATAGGATCAGATCTGAGGAAAAATTCAAACTCAAAAATATGCAAAATCAATTGTGAGGGGATAAAATATTAACATAAATTTTTTTAATTTCAAGTATGAGAAATGTGCAAAAATTTAAGATGAAATTACAAAATAAAACATAAAATCAAGAACATTTTAGGGGATAGTGGGCCCATATTTAATGAAAAATCAATCCATTGTACAATTTTTTTTTTTTAAAATAAAGAGGGATAATATATCAATTTACTTGTGTATTGACTGACATATAATTATATTAGGGATAATTCGTGTTTAAAAGCACGGTACAAGGTAAGTGATAAGTAATGAATTTGAAGAGAGAGAAAAATTCAATATGAATGATTTTGAAAGAGATGTTGATAGTCGTTGGATGAATCTATTTAGATTGTTGGATGAAATTATTGAAATATGTTTTATTTTATATTATAAATGTATATAATTATTCAAAAATGAGAGAGGCAAGTGCTCCTGGAACTAAGGTAGCTCCGCTTTTTTTTTATATTTAGAGCATTACAATAATATAATGTATAAATAATTTATAATATATTATTTATCCTCCTCTCTTATTTCACGTCTCTTATTCACTCTTCATCTTTCCTTCCATTATTTTTCCCTCTTCTTTTCATGTTTATAAGAAAGCTACAAAATATAAGAAATAATATTTAAAAGCATTAGTTAAAATATAACAAAAATATTGAATTATGTATTAAAAAAATGAATAACTAATATATATATATATATAGTCATCACCCGTGTAAAATATAAAATTCGAGTGTCCAAAAAATTGATCCCACTATATTAATTTTTTTTTAAATATATTAATTATAAATTAATTAAATATTAAATGATTAAACAGAGTGGTGTAATATTTTTAGGGAAGAAATATATAAATGATTAAATATGTGATTGAAGTGAGTGATGTGATTTGACGTTTGAGTTTGACAAAGAATGATGAGTGAGGTAAGTGATTAATGATGATTTTGAGGAGAAAAAATATGACTAAGATAAAATTCAAACAAATTCTTATTTTATTATATAGATATATAGATATATATTTATTTAGATAATTAAAATACAAAATCTTATTTTAAATATACAACTCGAAAAAATCAGGTTCCTGGCGATGCGGAATCAGACGCGACCGGCGATGTGGCGGTGAAGCCTCTTCATGGTGAGGAGCACCTATGGGACCCATCACAAAAAAAAACAAAATCAAAAGTTGAGGCGCGCAATTGGGGGCTCTGGAGGGTTTTAAAAGCGCTCGAGAGTTCGGAGACCATCGAAGCCACACCAGACCAGATCAGACTGCGAGCTTTCATCTTCTGTATTTCGTTTGATCGTAACATGCTCATGGCCTCAAACAGGTGATCTTTCCGTTTCCAACGAACTAAAACCCTAGTCTTTAGTATGTAGTTGTGTTTATGCTTAGTCTTGATATGTGAATCTTGTTCTGTTTCTGTACTTTTTGTAAGTTTTCATGGATCTGAAATAATTTGCGTAATTCTTTCGGGATCTCAGTTTGTAGGGTTCGACGGGATATGACACATGCCTGCTATTCCGCAGTTTCTGAGGTTTTGTAAGTTTCCTTCCACTGGATTTGCTTATTTCTCTTGTTAATTTTCACTGTTTATTAGTTGAGTACTCATGGAAAAGACAGGGAAAAACAGAATTTGAGTTCTATTTCTGGAATGGAATATGCACATTTCCTTGTTTGCTAGAGCCTACATGGTACTGCCTGTTTCCACAAAGTGATGCATTAGCTATTACTCTGCCAAATTTTGAAATAAAAAACACCCCACCTCAGACCCTCTCTTTTCTTTTCACTTCCCCCACCCTTTCCCCGCGGGTTGTGTCGGCAGACCTCAGATATCTCATCAAGCACTTGTATTTGCATTCCTCGAGAAAAATCTTTCCATGTAGAACCTTCCCTCTTATATTAAAAATTTAAAAATCTCAAACAAGTCTCTGTTTTTTGGTTGTCCCTATGAACCTGATGGGAATTATGAGGATGCAAAGGAGCTATAATCTGGTAATTTATTCTTTTTTTGGTAATGCAATTAATTGGAAAGTGTGGATTTATTTTGAAATTGGTATTTTATCCCCATTTGTTTTTCTTCTAAATTTGAAAATCAGAATTGAGTTACTCAAAGTAATTGTGATTGTTGTCACAGGTGGTGTAGATAAATATATGATGCAAGTTTAGTTCTCTGATACAGTTTTTTTTTTCCTTGTATTTTCTAGAAATTTTGGGGCTGTAGTGGCACAAAGATCTTTGGCATTTCGTTTGAATTCAAAATTTCCATTCAAGTTTGCTTGTAGACAAATTCACATGGACAATAAATACAACAGTGATTCAAGAGGAGCTTTGATTGTGTTAGAAGGTTTGGATCGCTCTGGGAAGACTTCACAGTCTAGCAGACTACTGTCATACCTGGAAGGGCTAGGGTATCCAGTTGAATCATGGAGGTTTCCTGATAGAAATACTGGTGTTGGGCAAATGATTTCCTCATATCTCTCCAATAAGTCGCAGCTGGATGATCATGCAATCCATCTCCTCTTTAGTGCAAATCGTTGGGAGAAGAGGTTTGTTTTGTTATCCCATGCATGATGATATATATCACTTAGTTGAAATGGAGATAGAAAGCTGACTCTTATCTGACATGCTTGTTTAGTTGCCTCTATGAGTTGTTTGGCAATGTTTTTCTTCTTCAACAGAAGCTGTGCTATGGTTTGTGTATTTAGGAGCCTGACAATATTTTGATGGTTATATATCTTGTCACATGACCAAAGAAATTGCTTCATAGACCTTACACATTTAGAAATTAATTGTGAAAATATCATATTGGAGGGCTAAATGTTGTGGAAATTTCTTCTCATTTACCTTGTCTAAATGAATGGCCAAAATGTAAGATGTTTTATGGAGTTAATTTAAACAAGTGGGAAATTATATAATAACATTGAAAATAAATTGCAGATTCTCTTCTGTTGTACAGGTAGTTACTTCATTGTTACGAATGACAGCTAACCAGCTGCCAAATGGGAGAGTACAATAGTTGTAACACCAAAAGTATGGGCTGATGGAATTTCTAACGTTTTAAAATATTGCAATTTTCCTTTCATGCGGATACTGAAAACTAGTTACTGTGGTCGAAACTGTCTACAAATTCTCATGTTCTGTAGATATAAGACAAACTGGAGTTCTTTAGTTAGTTTCAAGCGTTAGATATATGTCTAGTTTCCCGCTTGTAACTCCCTCAGGTAAATGAGAACCATAATGGGCTATGAGTAATTACCTGTTTTACAACCTTTATCTCTATCATGGTCAAGAAAAAGTCAGACTGTTGGATTATAGGCCCTGAAGCTCTCATTTTAAGTTTTAAGATTTGTAGTTAATCATCAACAATGTATTTGCAGAGCATTAATGGAGAACAAGCTGAGGAGTGGAACAACCCTCATTGTTGACCGCTACTCTTATTCTGGGGTGGCTTTCTCATCTGCCAAAGGACTCGATATTGAATGGTGTAAGGTAAATACATTCTTTAAGTTATGTTCAATTTGAAATTTATTTTCTTGGGGGTAGTGAAGTAATGAGGTTTGTTTGTGCAGGCTCCAGAGATGGGGTTACTGGCTCCAGATCTGGTACTATACCTTGACATACCACCAGAGGTAATTTGTTTCAAATTTTTCATTCTTGTTATGACCTTGAGGATTTTAGCTGTTTGTGATTCACAGCGAATTCTCTTTTATATTGCTTTCATTGTTTCTTTGATGTGAGGTTTGGACACCTTGTCCGCCCTCGCTTCTTTCTCTTTTGTACTGCAATTTTTTTGCAACAATACAATGACTGTTTCTTATTTGAGAAAATAAAGAGAAAAAAAATTGAAGGAAAGGCGTCCCACTTGTGGCAAGCTTGGTTCCTGTTGAAATTTGTGAACGCTTCTTTTGTTGGCATACATTTGCAAGGACCACTGATATAGATCCATGTTAATGTGGCATCGTAAATATGCACCTGCTCCTGACTCCCTGCCTTGTTCAAAAAACCCTATATTCAGGTTTTTCTGTTCGAGTCTGCTGGACTTGATTCTTTAGTTTAGTGGAATCATCAAATCATGACTGTTTTTCGCATCAATACAATGACTGTTTCTTATTTGATAAAATAAAGAGAAAAAAAATTGAAGGAAAGGCGTCCCACTTGTGGCAATCTTGGTTCCTGTTGAAATTTGTGAACGCTTCTTTTGTTGGCATACATTTGCAAGGACCACTGATATAGATCCATGTTAATGTGGCATCATAAATATGCACCTGCTCCTGACCCCCTGCCTTGTTCAAAAAACCCTATATTCAGGTTTTTCTGTTCGAGTCTGCCAGACTTGATTCTTTAGTTTAGTGGAATCATCAAATCATGACTGTTTTTCGCATCAATACAATGACTTTCTTATTTGATAAAATAAAGAGAAAAGAAATTGAAGGAAAGGCGTCCCACTTGTGGCAAGCTCGGTTCCTGTTGAAATTTGTGAATGCATCTTTTGTTGGCATACATTTGCAAGGACCACTGATATAGATCCATGTTAATGTGGCATCATAAATATGCACCTGCTCCTGACCCCCTGCCTTGTTCAAAAAACCCTATATTCAGGTTTTTCTGTTCGAGTCTGCCAGACTTGATTCTTTAGTTTAGTGGAATCATCAAATCATGACTGTTTTTCGCATCAATACAATGACTTTCTTATTTGATAAAATAAAGAGAAAAGAAATTGAAGGAAAGGCGTCCCACTTGTGGCAAGCTCGGTTCCTGTTGAAATTTGTGAATGCATCTTTTGTTGGCATACATTTGCAAGGACCACTGATATAGATCCATGTTAATGTGGCATCATAAATATGCACCTGCTCCTGACCCCCTGCCTTGTTCAAAAAACCCTATATTCAGGTTTTTCTGTTTAAGTCTGCTGGATTTGATACTTTAGTGGAATCATCAAATCATTTCTTGATTTTCACATTGCCGCAGAAAGACAATTATGGGTTTTCATTTATGTTTCTTAATTTGATAAAATGAAGTGTTAGCAATTCCACTGGCATTTCTGTTTCAAATTAAACCGATGTCAGGCTATATGGAACTAATTTTTGAAGTTATCAGAATGCTGCTGAAAGAGGAGGTTATGGAGGTGAGAGATATGAGCAACTTGAGTTTCAAAGGAAAGTTGCACAATCGTATCAGTGTCTTCGTGATGCCTCTTGGAAGGTAATGCACTTTGTTCAATAACCTTTTGTTCTCTTTTCATTTTTGTTGCAGATCAGAACTCTGGTGAAAGGTTGGAAGGTAAAAGTTACGGAGTTTGTTTGGGTTTTGATGGCGTCCTGTGGGTGTCACCTCAGAACTTGTCATATTTTGGTTTAGATTTTGGGCATTAACACCAAGTTTCTGTTAGCTGATGTAGCTTCAAGACAATAAAATTGGTAGGTGAAGATGAAAAACAATAAAAAGAATAAAATCTGAAGGCATAGGATGATGGTAACATGTATAAATTGTTATAGTTATTCTGGGCGTTTCTACAACTCTTTTCCTTTGCCAAAAGAAAATTACTACCTAGGCGTCAGTGGAGATTGCTTGTGAATTCTGCAGTAGCAACCTTTTCTAAACTCAAGGCATTGACTATGTTTTCTTGGCTTCATTGCAGATTATAGATGGACGCCTTTCTGTTGAAGAAGTTGAGAAACAGTTAAGGGAGATTGTTATAAGTTGTGTGATGATGTGCCAAAAAGGAAAATCTCTTTCACAGCTCTGGTCAAGTTGAACTCTTCAAGGTTTATGAAGAAGAGGAGCTGCGTGTTTTGGCGGACTTATCAAGTATTTAATCAATCGAGAAAACTTCGATGCTGTCTTTAGCCTTGTATTGTTCAGATAGGAGTTGTGTGGAAACAATGGTTCCAATTAATTAGCATCATGTATTGTGTGTTTTTTTTTTTTTTTTCTTTCTTGATGTTCTAAGATAGACTTAACATTCTTCTAAGGAGAAGGGAAAAGTGTGTCACTGCTAAGACTCAAATCTCTGGTTTGTAGTGCAATTAAGGATTAAAATTTCGTTTTAAAACGTTTTTATTTTTAAAAAGACTAAAATGGATTAATAATGAAATTGAAATTTTTATATTTTGTATTTTTTTTATATATTTGTACAATTATTTTAAAATATTTTAAGATTTTTGATATATTTTGACCAAAATTTTGAAAAAATAATTTTATTTTTAAACATATTTGAAACATGTTAAAATATTTTTATTCCATAGGTGACCAAAATAATATATCGAAATAAAATTTTGATCATCGAGTGTAACATAGGATAAATGTGGATAAATTTAAAAGATTTTTGCATTCAACTTTATATTAAAGAAAGAATTAATAATATGGTTCATTTTAATTGAGTACAAAATTTTCATATGAAGTATTTAAAATTGAGTAATTTGTCGAAATTTATCAGCATAAAAAATAGTTTCAGAGAAAGCGACAATTATTTTGACTACAATTCAATTTTTTAAGATGTAAATTAATAATGAAATTTCTAGCCAATCTAATAATTTTAATGGATCAAATTAAAAAAAATAATTTTGTTGTATTAAATTAAGAAATTAAGTCGAAAATAATCGACTAATACTCGTTAAACAAACCCTCATATTTACCCGTTAACTATAAATATAGTCGTTCACAGTCCATTCAACTCTCAGAATCACTTCTCTCTACTTCTTAGAAATGAGATTCGGTAGAGCACTGCACACAGCAATGCTTGTAAAGATGGCATGCAATCAGAAGTCTCCTCTCGCTCATTTTCCTTTCCCCTGTTTTCTTTGCAACCAAACAGAGGCTCGTCTTTTCTATTGCTAGCTTCCACTTGTAAATTAGGGTACAACTTTATCCGTACATGCCTTGCCCGAACCAAAAAATCTCTCAATATTTACCTAAAAGAAAATCTCCACCAGAAAAAAAGAAGAGAAAAATTCAAAATGAATTGCATGTGGGGTACGGTCCTCGTATAGGGGTATACTGGGTGTCTACATTCAATTTGACTATTGTTAGAATTCAATCAATTATGGTTCAATACGATTAAGAGAGAATCTGAGATAGCTTTGTTGGCCTTTCAGGTGGCATCAATTTAACCTCCGCCCTTTCATGCGAATAAATAAAAGACTTTGCTTGCTTCAATTACCTTTCAGAGCCATCCAAGAGTGTACCAAAATCAAACATTTCGTGCGCTTTTTGGGAAAAGAAACTGTTGAACACAGTAGAGAGATTTGATTGCAAACCGAAGTAACAGTTAATAAACTAAAACCACATGGTTTTTCACTGGTGAAACTCAAACTATAACTCAGATTGACATTCGGAATTTGTGTTGAGGTTGAGGTCGGGTTAAGGGTTCCAAATGTTAGACTGATCATGAGCTGAACCCCAACCCGCCGAATCATGGTCATGCCAAAAATTACCAAATGAGACCACATTCATCAAAAACAGGAAGCCACTACAAAATTCGCATTATATAATAATTCTTGCCAGTTCTGTATTCAGACAAAAAAATAGGTATGTGTCTATGTGCGTATTCTCTTATTATCTCCCTAAAATGGAAACATAATCTTCGGCTCTCTGAAATATCTGTCAAAAGGTTGGAGCCAACTAAACAGATGAGAGAAACATAGCCGTTGAGCAATAATTATTGCCTATTCAAATCCTTCCACAAATATAAGAATAAGAGGAACCAGAGATCTAATTGACAACGTCAAGGACCAGCTTACGAGACTTGAAAATCGACCACTTCAAGCGTCTGTAGTAAGCAGCTTGAAGCAGTGCAAGTGACAGTACAAATATCCACTTGAATCCCATCTGCATTAGAGAAGCATACACTGTCAGAAATTAATTTCCACTATTTATATATAGAGCAATATTATTAAGACCTAATTTATTGACCTAATTTGCTGACATAATTCACTATAATCTTTGGATTGATTGTGAACTCCATCAAACATTGAAACTTGGTGTTGATCCAATGGTTTCACTAAAGTCGCATTATTATGTCAACAAATTATGTAAGATTTTCAAGTCTAAATAACATTACTCTTATATTTATGTTTTTTTTGTTGCCGCTGTTTATTTTATTTCTACTGAATTGAAGCCAACATACGAGTTTTCTCTCTTCCATTTCCGGTTCTGCAGCCCATGATAGAAATGTCACCACATCTTTCCCCATCTGCAATAAAATTTGGGAGGGAACATAAGCTTAGTAACCCTAAGAATTTCACCACAATGACATAGACATATAGTCATTTGATAAGTAGCATAATAATAAATCTTGAAACTACGAGCATTATATTACCCCAGCATTAAATGACAGGGAAACTAACCTGAGCTTCGGTTGCAGGGGTACCATCTTCATACTCCACAGCGCCATCAGAAAGCATTTTGGGCATTGCAATAGCTCCCCCAGGAAAGTAAGGATTATAGTGCAGTCCTTCTCGGATCTACAATATCACCAAACCTGGCTGATTAAGCACAGTTGCTGGACAATGCCTAAAATCTACAAAACACACTTCCAATGGTTATAAGCAAGGTCACGCACATAGATAAACAGTGTCCGGTAATATGTGGAAATAGATAAACCAGTGCGATTTTTATCGTTTTTATGAGTACAGGTCAGCTTCTTCATCAAATAAAATCAGCTCAAAAAATACGCACACCTTTAAGGACAAATAATGGAAGCATGAAGAGGAAGAAGGTCTATGGGGCAGTGACAGTGTGAAAAGGAAATTCTCTCCCTTCAAATCCCAAAACAAAAATGGACCAAATGAGTATCATTTCCTTTGAAAAACTCTTAAAAACAAGATAACCTCCCCTAAACCAGAGATGTTTTGTCGTATGGAACTGATGATGCAAAAAAAGAATCCAAATTTACCATGCCTCAGATGAAAGCTTCTGATCAAAACATACTTGTTAATTGCCTATCCATTATGACGGCCTCATTACTGTGATGTGCATAGCAGTAAAGACAAAGGGCAGTGGCATGCACTACCAGAGTCCAACCTATCAAAGATAGGGGATAAATTCCCATGGAGAATTTCTTCACAATTATGTATAAGGCCAGCAAAGCCATGGTTAGCACTGATAAGCAAGGACAGGATAAACAACCCACTTATTGCCCGCTTGGTTATGAGCCCAAAAACCCGAGCTTGGCATGGAATATATCAGCTTGTATAAATTGAAAAATACCAGCCCTCCAATGATGCAGAAAAAAAAGGCTGATCCAAGAGCAAAAAAATGAAATACAGATTAACTTTATGGGAAGAAATCCTAAGACAGTTTGCAAAACTTTCAGCACACTTTTTCCTCAGGAGCAGCACATAGTAAAAGTCGTAACCTTTTTCTAGTACCACTAACCACATACAATTATCAGAACATTTTTGTTTGGTTGCAAATGGTTTCATTATTTATAGTAAACATTAATCTTATACATTAGAAGGTCATAAAGAAACATAGATAATGAGTTTCGGAAGTAGAACTTACGGAAACACCAGCAGGAGGATTGTGGTAACCAGTTAAAAGGGCGAATACATAGTTTTGACCATTGTGACGAGCCTGAAAGGACAAAAGGTAAGAAACTGTTGTTTCTCACAACTTCCGCATAAATTAACACCGGAAACTAGGAATTACTTTGGTGATGAGACTTAGATCTGGAGGATAGGCCCCTCCATTTGCAAATCTAGCAGCTTGTTCATTTGCATATGGCTGAGGAAAACGGTCACTCAGTTTCCCCGGGCGGGTAAACATCTCACCCTCATCATTAGGCCCATCAACCACCTCAATCTCAGCTGCCATAGCCTTTGTTTCCTCTTCTGTATATGCCACACCAACCAAGTCACGATATGAAATCAGGGACATCGAATGGCAAGACGCACAGACTTGTTGGTAAACCTGGTGACCACGGCGAATCCTGTCCGTATACAATCAACCATGAGTGAATGTTAACAGTGGCATGAAACAGCTTACTAATCCCAAACAAGAAAATCATGAACAAATGCTGGAGTAATAGGGAGTATAACACGTCAAGTTGAAGGCTGCAATTCAAAGAGAATGAGGGTATTGTATGTTGAAATTGCAAGAAAAGACGTGATGATTTATGCATAACCCAAAATAGGTGATTGAGCCAAGATACGTAACAAACGAAACCAACTTCTAAAGATTGAAGCCTGATGCACCTAATTCCTGACCAGGTTACACTCTTCGTCAAATTTCGAAGGAGTTCATAAAAGTTCATATCTGACCCAATGTTCAGGGTCTAGCTATGCTGAAGTGCAAAACATGAATATATAGTTATAAAATTATCAACAGAAACTCACGAAGCATGGTCGTATGAACTGAGAATGCCTTGGTGAGGCCAAGGATAGCTTGGACACTCTAAACCATGTTCAGCCTCATCGGCAGATGCTATTGTTGCAAAACTCAAAAGCCCAGACACACTTGCTCCAACGAGTGCAAATGCTCTCAGGGACTTCATGCCAGCAGATCCAACCCCCTCTTGATCTTTCTTTGAAACAAGGGATGACAAAATTGGAGACGCCTGCAAATTTCCACATAGAATGTAAGCACTAGATGATGACCACCACCGATCGATGACTACAATGTCACACAAACAGAGATAGTATGAATGACTTGATAACATGGTCCAGAATTTTAGCGGTGTTTCTATTTCCAAACCTTCTCTTGCCCACCCATGACAACATTAGTCCAGCACAAACAGTTTTTTATAAGAAATTGAAGTGCGCTTTAGCGCTAAACAAGCTGAGCCAAGCCTATTTTCAGCATGCTCAGGCTCGTCTTAGCTAGTAATTTACAATGCTCAAGCGTGCTCGAACTCGAGTGAAATGTAAACCATTCTGATCAAGCTTGGCTTGAGCAGAAACAAAATCTGCTCAAGCTGGCTCGGTATAAAGCAGGACATGTTTAATCCGTCAATGTCTAAAAAAGCTCCTCAAGATTATGGTCCCCAATGACTATGATATCTTTGCACAACCAGAATGCACAAGGCCTAAAAAACAAGTGGACCTGCCAACGACAATAAATCTAGAAGAAATGGTAATACCAATGGATGATTCATCAATCATCATTATTAACATGTATTTGCCACTGTACCTTCAAAACCACTCAATAATTGCAATAAAACCACATACTTGAACCTAATCAAGCCTAGTTGAGCCAAGCAGGAAATGCTTGGGTTTGGCTTGTTTTCATAATGAGCTTATGGCTTATGCTCAAGTTTGGCTTGAAGTAATCATTGAACGAGCTTGAATGAACTTTTATCAAGCCAAGCTCGAGTTGAATGTGAGTAACTGAGTTCATTTGACAGCACCGGTGTGCTTAAACCATTACCGTGTTTCCCCTTAGTTTGACTATAATCCATAAGAATGGCAAACACCCAACAAACTTGACCAAGACCTTAGAGGAGCCATTTCTACGACTAGATCCTAAGAATGAGAAGAAAGTCAGAAGAGTCCATATTTTTTATTTTAGTAGTACGTGTATACAATGCAATAATACAATAACTTTTAGCCCATTAGAATGCACATCCCACCCATTTTAGTAACTTCTCAATGCCCGTGGGTCTTTCTTCCCTTCCCTGCAACAAAAAGTCTTTAAGTTCGAGGCAATCTAGCACAAATATCAGGGTATTTGTAGCAAGAGGTACTAATCGGGCATTTGTACCACTACTATTGAGGCTACTCTAAGTGAATGCCAGTAAGATTTCACTAACCATATAGGAAGAATGCAAAACTACAAAAAGATCCTTACAGTGGATTGAGATTGAAGTCTTCCCCTCAGTAACTGGTGGATCACTCTACGTCCAACCATCATAGTCAAACTCTCTGTCAAATTACCAAAGGCACATTAAAAGGATAGACGAAATCCAAGAATTTGAGAAAGCCCGAAACTAATTGTATCAGCAAATTAGGTGGAACAATAAGACAAGTAAGTTTATTTCGTGAGGACAATATCACATAAAAAAGGTGAAGCACTGACTTAGTGACCAAGCCTTAATACCAAACAGCAAAAAAAAAAACTATACATTGCAGAAGCGACTACTTAGTGAAGAAGAAAATAACGATAGCTACGCCCTGAGCAAGATCTAGGGGAAATATGTGTAGTTCGTTCCAACAGGCTCTACCGCTTGCCCAAAGCAAACTTGCAACCTGATAAAGACTACTGTAATCCTTTAAGCATTCAACCAATCTCTGTTTCTTCTGTTCTTAGTACTCTTGTCTCTTGCTTTTTTTCGTTAACTATCTGTTAACCATATATGCGGAATACCACATTCTTCCCAACACAGAGTTATAACTATAAAAGCATTTAAAACGAAAGGCTGAAATTAACATCTAAATATCCCGATTCTAAACCATCCACATTGACACTCAACTGATAAAAAAATCAAAATTCACAACATTTTGTCAGCTCAATAAGCGGAAAAAAGAACAATAAAATTCAATAATCTTTTAACAACATCTGTGATTATACAATCTAACTATTCTGTATACAACAAGACGAAAAATTCAAAGATGTAAAAAAAAAAGCACATAAATGTGCATTCATAGTAAGTGGCAGCAATCGAAAAAGCTATTAATGAAAAGAAGAGAGAGAATAACTCGCCGGACAGAGTAGATCAGCGGCTATTGAAGTCGGAGCACTGAGAGAAAGGGAGATCCAACAAAGAAGGGACAGAGAGTCCAGAAATGATAAGAAGAGAAGATGATGATTTGGATTGGCGAAAATGAAACTTTACTTGTCGCAAGTCGCCCGGCAATCAATCCATGGGTCTTTGCTGTTGCCAAGGATGTTGGGTTACGTACGTGACTTTGGCCCACAAGTGTAGTTGGCCTATGGCCTTATTAATTTAGTTAAAAAAAGGTATAAAATTGGATAATTAGTTATAATTTATTCTATATCAATTGTAATGGTCAACTTATTATTTAATCCTATTTTATCTACACCATGTTTGGTGCAAATTTGGAATAAGGTATTGGCAGTGGATCAAAAATTAATATATCGTATTAATTTTTTTTTAAAAAGGTAAAAATATCATTTGATCGAATTTCATCCAAAATCACATGACAAACAATAATTTGTTGTTTCAATCCTAATACTATTTAGGATTGATTTTATCACCTATTACATTATATTAATTTGTAACTTTCACGTGATATTATTTTATACTTTAGCATCATGTTGAGATCTACACACGTAAGAGTAGTGCTACACAACTTAAATGAAATTCAAAAAATTATAATCTAAATGCATATCATTCATTGGATGAACAAGTCCTATCATTTTTTTCAGTAAAACTCGCTCATCCAATACTCAAACAAGAGACAATATATATTAAATTGTAATTTTTTAAATTTTATTTGAGTTGTGTAATATTTTTCATAACATAATCCAAACACAAAATTAAAATTAAAATTACTATAAATTATTTGACTTCAACGATCTCTTGAAACTAAACTATGATAAATTTATCCTTCATTTAATATCCTAATCCCGACATAGATGATTGCTCTTTAACCCAATCGGAAAGAAAATTAGTCGAAGCTCCGGCATGAAAGGGCAAAAGGAAAATCAGCAGACAATTAAGAACCAAAACTTTATGGGGGAGGGACACTACAAATACATTCTTCTGTGGTCTTTCCCCAATTGTTGAATCTTTGTACACAATGTGCAATAAATTCCACTTGCAAAATACCACTTTTGTTGTTATAAATAATTTTTCACAAGACAAACTGAATCTCAAAAATTCTTGCAAATTCTAATGCCTCGAATGCAATTGAAAAAGCTCAGACTGCCTGCAACACATTTGTCACATTTCTATCGCATTCTCGATCCAAGACAGCATAAGGAAATTTAAAAACTAGCAATTAGAGGAGGAAAGGAAGAGGCCATTTCTAAACAATATGCTCATAACTTAAAACAGGGTTCAACATCTCTGACATGCAACTACTTTCTCCACTGAGCACAAAATGACACAGGAAAATTCCATTTTCTTTCATATTTTTGGTGAATTTATCTCATTCACCATCATTTACCATCTCTTGTCCACAAGTGGGTCCTCCTTGATTCATATGAGGTATTTCTGTGGAACAGGATCAAAGTCATCGAAATCAAATCGCTGTCGCTCTCTCCCAGCCTGAACATGTGATATGCATATCTCATTAGTTGACAACTTGACCGAAAAGGGAGAAAAGAATGCCTCCCAAAGCATAGCAACCTTTTTAAACAAAATTTACAAGATTTTCTAGAGGACTAATAGCACGCTTACCTTTGCCAGGTATAATGGGTCAGATGACAGGAGTTCATCCATAGCAGTCAGTTTCTTTGATAGGCTCATTACCCTGTAACAATAAATAGAAAAATAACCCATCCATTGACCATACCACAGAACTGTTATAAATATCATATACAAGCACTGATGAGTAGGATAAAGAAAAAGCGAAACAGCGGTAATTATAACCGCACCACTCAAAAGGTAATTTTGTTCAACAATCTCCCAAATGCCAGTTGATTTGAACAGTGTGGGACAAATAACATGACAGATCACACAAAATAAAATACCTCTGAATTGAAGAGTCAATATGTTCAATCATCTCACAACTTTTATATTGCTCAGGATCTTCAAGGAATCTAACCATTCCATCCTTTTGGTTGATAGTGGCATATATCTCACCATCTTGGATCTAAAATTGAACATTCGTATAGCAAGTTAAAGAATAGAAGACACCCACAAGCCACAGCTGATGGCAATATTAAGGAAGGAAGAGTGCCAGACTAACTACCATTTGAAGAACATGCATTTCAGCCTCCTTAGGGCTATTGAGTTGTACAGTGTTGGCTATGTCTTGGAGGGAGAGAGTCAAATATGTCTGAGTCAATCTCTGAATATTTCTCTTATACATTGATGATACCACCTGTTTCACCAATCCAAGATTGTTGTCCTAAAAAACAAAAGAAATAAACCAAAACTATTTTAGGTGGGTGAAAGATTCATTAACGTAGCAGAATAACTTTTCTTCAGACGCTGGCGTCTTAGGCTCATCCTTCCATCTCAAAATACTAGTAAAACAAAGAATAAACCAGAATAGAACAAACTCACAATTTCAAACTTCTCTGTGTTTGTCTGCACAAATGTTTCCAGTTCTGAAATTTTTCCAGTGCTATAGCTATTTGCTAACTCCAGATATGGCTAACCAGAAGAGGAAGGAAAAAGAAACAATAACACAACCAAACCAAAACAACATATGACATCATTTAACAAACCACGAGAAAATGGAAAGCCATCTATAAAAATATTCAACTCGAAAACTAAACACAAATCAGATAGAAGATCTAATATTTAACTATTACAATAGCAAATATATCTAATGAATCACATAGAGACATCAGTGACGCATTCCACTAAATGGGTGGCAATCAAAATAGCATATCAAACACACAAGGACTACCCAAAAGATACAAGGACTAAGGGGCTGTTTGATAGGGCTTTTAATGCTGAAAATTGAAGGGATTAAGCAATAAGTGTGTTTGATAACAAAATTCATTACCACTAAATTGATTAATTGCATCTGAAAAAAGGCTTAAAAATTTAAGTAACCTCCCACCTACTTATTGCTGAAGAGGGACTACGCTCAGCAGAGAGACAGATTTTATGCCTCTGTAATTTGATAAGTTTGACATCAATTGTTTTTGTCTCAAACACGATTACATTCAGACCACTGCAAGTCCTCCCTTGGTCTTAGGTAATCAATTTCCTACCTGAGTTGTCTCTCTCCACAAACCCTATGTATTGTTCTACTACTCGGTTTTTGTAGCAGCTGTCAAAAAATTCTGCAAGGTATTGGTTCTATCCTCCTATTAGAATGTATATATAAAAATTAGAACCCTGAGGATGTTTGCATATCTGCAAGGATATGCACCGAATGAGTGGAATATATGTGGTGGTTTCTGTTTTGTGTGTAAACACATGTAACTACAGAAACCACCAACAACGGGTGGCTTATGTGCTTTTTCGCTGCTATCAATTGATGAAGTTTTTGTCACTCTACTACTCCAGATATATCTGTTTCTCCATATCTGCATTAAGTGTGCAAGTACAATACAAGCAATCATCACCCAAAGTTTCTCACTGGTTTGCTCAAGAATATTTTGGATCATGATACAATTTTTAGAGATTAAGCAATAATTTTTTGCGTCAAGTCACAACTATTTGGAGATGTTTGGGATCAATTCCTCAATATTTTAGGATCGATCATAAAATATTGGATCAGTCCCAACAACCTTAAAAAAAAAAAAAGTGAAACTGGACTCCCAAAAATTTGTAACTTAACCCCGAAAATTAATATTTGGTGGCACGGTACTCAAAAAAAACTTTTTAGTACCGTAGACTTACCTTTATTGTTTTTGATTGGATAAATTCATATTTAGAAATGAATTTCAAAATAACTAGTGGAATGGAAAATTGAAAGGTCAATTATTTTCCGTCTTCAACTTCTTATATTGATCAAATAGCTTCATTCAATTTAGTACTACCTCAGTATTTAACAAATTGTTTGCAGATTAAAAAATCAGCATGCAGCACTTAGAATTCAACATTCAGTTTTTACTTCTCTGGTGATAATAGAACAAGCAATAGAGATTCATCAACCCTCTCCCATTATGAAGCACGGACACTTTCAAGAAGGTGACATATCCGTGTCGGACACCGACACTTCTCGGACACGTATCCAATACTCTTTTATCCATGTTCATTATTAAATAATAAAATTTTAGTTTCGGACACGTGTCCGACACTTCTTTAAACCACATCTACTACTAAATAATAAACATGTGATTAGCAATCTTAAAAAATTGACTATTAAATATCTTACACTACGAGAGAACATATAATTATCAAGACTAGACATGTTAAAGTTGTGCTAAAATATGATAACAAAAGTAAAAGATACATAAAAGATATAGAAAAGAGCAATTGAAATGAGAACAATCATTTAAATCATATATGTATAGTACACGTCTACGAAAAAATTGATAATTATTGATTATTATGATGTTAGTCTAAACATTCACACTAAATGACTAGAGATAACATTTATTTATCACAAAATACTGAATTTTTTATGAATAATATATCATTATCCCTATACTTGTGGTAAATTATATAATTTTATATATAAAACACAATTATCTATAACGTGTTTCCAACATGTCCGTATCCTACTTTTTTGAGAAATGTTGTGTCTGTGTATCCAGTGTCCGTACCCATGCTTCTTACCTCTCCACTATTGAAATTCTCAAAAGTTTTATAAGTTGGGATACCCATTGACTTGCATAACTTCACATCAACAGAATATAAATCATAAAAAGATTGTAAGCATCTAGTCTCACTGTGCACACTGGATGTGTAGCTCATTATGCAACACTTAGATGAAATAGAAGAAGACGTCATTATTAAACAGAAACCTCGAGGCTGGACAAGTTGATGATAAAATGCATGTGATATACAATCATCAGCAAAACAAAACTTTCACAGACATTAATCATTACCTGACAAATGTTCTTTAGATTCCTTTGAGCCACTGAAGAAGTGTATTTCGGGAAACTAAGAAAGAACTGCCATCAGAAGTAAAGTAAGTCCCTCTTAATCGGAATATTAATAATGGCAAATAATAAGAGAAGAAAGTTTCATAGAGAAAATTTGTCTAAGCAGACTACCCACACAAACAACTAATAACCCAAGTACTTGAGGTATATGACAATGATAGAGACTATGACAGCAACAATGGTGATGGTTTCCTTTGCAAAGATAAAAGGTGGTAGTAAGATCATTATAGGCCATAAT